CGAGCCAAGAGCGAATCGCGGGGTGAGCAGCATCGGTTCTAGTCCAGTCAGCGCCGCGCCGTTCTGGACGAAGCCGAGAAACAAAATCCGCTTCCAACGAAACGGGGCCTCCAAAGGCCAGATCTGCCCCAGCGCATAATACGATTCAGCAGTCGCCTGAATTCGTCGGCGGACCTCGACCGTCGCCGACTGCAGCATGTTAATATTCGGCCCGAGGCAACGAACATCATCCTGAAGTTGTCCCGAAGTAGTCTTCGGCCCCTACCCCGTGCCCACTGTCTACACTGTAACGCCTCTGGCCCCTGGAGACACAGCTGAACCTCCTGCTTCGAGATGTTCTGGGCGTATCCTATCGCCTCCAATTCCTCCGAAAAACACCTCATGAGCCTGCTTCAGGACCTCAAAGAATCGCCCCACAGAAATGCGCGGGGGTGCGACGTGCACGCGGAAGACATCGCCGGCGCACAGGCCGCCGCCAACGTCCGCTTGAAAATCCCTCCATCGGGCTACCAGACCAGCGGCCGAGGTGTCAAAGTCCCTCAGCCTGCGGAGCCATTGCAGGATGGGCCTCGGCAAAGCGCCGCTGAGTAGTTCGACAACGTAAGAGTCGGCCATGGTAACTCCCTCCCCCGACTTGATATACATCCCTCCTTCCACCGTATCCAACCATATCGCACTATTCCGAAAACGTTGCATGCAGAGAGGTCCACGTCCTGGTGATCAGCATGCATTGCATCTGTTTGCTCCAGATCGGACCAAGACCCGCTGGCAAAAGCGTTCGTCCTATCCTTGTACGCGCACGCAAACGAGTGCCCAGCCCTGCGAGGACGCCAGCATACCAACTGGGCCACTAGCATCGCTCCGTCTCTGCGTGTGCCTGGACAGAAGCCGCGCCCGATCACCATGGGACGAACTCGAAGGAGGCCACAATAGGAAACTTTCCCCATGGTCGATAACACATGCACCGTACGTCGGCCCAATGGGCATGGCTTAGCACGTTTTTTTTTACTTGGGCCCCAGAGCTCGCGCGCCGCAGCAACGGCGTTCGATTCGTGGCCCGAAGAGAGCGCAGACCTCCCTCGATAATCTTCCCAAGCAGTCTCATCCCAGGAACCTCGCGCCGGTTGCCTACGCCCATCCACTGGTTTAAAACGTTCGCGGAGGGGTCGAGGCACATCAGCCAGATCTCGGCGGGCGGGGCCCCAGGCGGCACCGCGTGTCTCTTGCTCGAAGAGCGCAGGGATGTTGCAATTATCCACTGGTCTTTCTGTGGCAACTCGCAATCCTCAGGTGTAATATAGGTCGAGGGTCCTGCAGGGGCCGAATCCATCCACTCGTCGAAGTCAATCCTCTGCGCGGGCATCCCTCCCTCGCCCCCCTTCTGGCCCCTGTGCGCCAGCAGCTCCTGTTCGGTAAAAATGCCCACCGCGAAGAAGTCTACCATCCCGACGCTTTGGACCGTAGTGAAACCGCGCTGCAATGCGCGAAGGCCCCATGGCCTCCGCCATCCGCCGGGGCTGCCAGGCCTCGTCGATCTCGCCCAATAGTGCCTTACGACGCCCTTGCTGGGACTGTTGTCGCTGTCGTCGGAGTCGCTGGCTCAGTTCTCTCAGTTGTTCCTCGCCAACACAAAATGCTGGAGAAGGTTCGCTCATGCCGAGTCGTGAGCGGCGAAGTCTAGCTCTTCCTCGCAGGAGCTCAGATCGTTCGGAGGCCTCCTGCCTGCACGCTGGATCGTTGGGCACCTGGTGACTGAAATACTGCTAACCTGCACTGACGAGCGCATCGTCAAGGTGTTTGAACAACTCATCTGGCCGTCCGTAATTCACAAGCGCCCCTCAAGTATCCTCGCTCTCGCGCAATCGCCCCTCAACTTCTTCCAAGAACTCGACTCGCCGTTCCCATTTGCACAGACGTCTCATAAGATCATCCTGGTTCCACCTCGTGCGCTGTAGTGAAGGAGACTCTGATTCAACTACAAACTGCATGCCATGCAACTCCATTATATATATATATATATATATATATATATCGGAACGTGTTCCTTCGGCGGGGCGCCGCGAAACGCCTGCAGCTCAGCCCCCCCGACCGCGTAGTGGAGAGAAACGAGACACCATACCCATCATGCCGTCGGGAACAAAGAACAAATATGTGCAACTGCTGCGTGCAGAATTCCCATAAAACGTGTGCTCCAGCGGCTGGCACCTCAAACTGTTAAGGAAAAGTGTGCCGCCGTTCGTTAGCCTGCCGAAAATCCCCCCAGCACACCCCCGACGTTGTTCACGAGCCTTTCCAGGCCCCACTGCAGCACTCTCCACTGGGCCTCGTTTTCCTGCCATGCGTGACAACCCCTGCCCGCCATTCAAGTCGACGTAGACCAAATGGTGCACTAGGGCAAGGCAGTGTCTGCAAAATGCGCTCATACCATGCCGCCACCGCGTTCACCGTGGCTTTGTAATTAGGGAGGAGGTGGGCATGGCGAGGTTGGGGCGGGAGATGCATCGCGATCGGGG